AAGAGCCGCTAAATTTGCAAGGCAAGCAAGGTCCAAATTACAATACCTTGAATTTAACAGGGTAATCTTATTTGATTGAATGATGGAATGGCGCAATGGCAGAATATACAATAAGGCTGAATGCCTCGTTGGATAAACAAAAGCCTCACATTAATGGAATTGCAATGAAATAAGAAAATGATTGATCATTAACAAGCAAAATAAGTCTAGTTAAAACATTATCAGAGCCAAGAAGATAGACTGATAGAGGAACAGTGAAGTTCTTGAGATAGCTATCATTACTATTACTATTGTTATCATCATTTTTATTATTATTATTATTGGTATGATTATCTTTTACCATTTAGTTCTTTGTTGAGTGTAAATTGGTGGCTATATTCTTCAGTCATCTTCCTCTTGTGGAACAAGGCACTCATAAATATGTGGGATGTGGCAGGTTTTCTGTTTTCCATGTGAGACTAATCTTCTATTACACTACCTTCTGGCATAATTATACAACTTGAAGTTCTTTTCAATGCTATAAAAATTGTGCCATATCAGTAGCCACATGCAGTCTTAAAATTGCCTATTTTTAAGGTAGCTGTCACCTTGCTGCCAAGTTACCGGTTGTACATGACAATGGCTTTAGCTGTGAGTGGCCTGAAAAGCACAGATTTAAAATGGCAGAGTTTCTTAAAGTAATGGAATGGATCATCAAAGACAATCTATTAGGGTCTGTCAAAATCTTTCAACCAGTGGAACCACCTTATGAAGTTGTGACACGTGTTCACAACTGTGACTATGTAGATGGTTTTATCTCAGGAAGCATTCCTCCAAAAGAAATGAGGAAAACTGGCTTTCACTGGTCAGAGGGCCTTGTGAGAAGATGTTTACTTGAAGTAGGTAGGAATTTGTGTTAAAATTAAGTATGTGCATGGATTAGGGTGCTGAAGTAACAAACAGAGTTTTGCAGGGGGAGACTTGCAGACCTTCACCATTATGATAGTGAATGCTATGTTTGACCAAAATGAAACTCCTTATATCCTCAGCACAGTTAGTATTACTCTTCCCCCCCTCCCACATTCCAGTAACAGGTCTAGGGGGAGGGTCAAGGGATTTTTGACTTCTTGTCTGACACCAACAGTCTTGCAACAAAAGAATCACATGATACGAGTGTTTCAAATTAACTTCTCTAGTGAGGAGAGACAGCCCGCAGAATAGTTCAGTATTCTAATTTGAATTAATTTTGAATTTGCTATTGCCTTATATGTGTTTTGATAAGTTTGTCAAATACATATTAATATTAGTAAAAAAAAAAATTTGACCTTTTTACTAAAAAAAAATAGGTGGCACCATGCTTGCTGCCAGGCTAGCACTAGAGTATGGACTGGCATGCAGTACTGCAGGTGGAACACACCATGCTTTTCCCAGCCATGGTTCAGGTTTCTGCATGTTGAATGATCTTGCTGTCACTGCTAAGGACATGATTGATAGTCAAGTTGTTGATAAAATCCTCATTGTTGACCTGGATGTTCACCAGGTAATTTAGTAGAAGGTATTGACCCTCTACCTCCCATGAGTGACCAAGACATAATTTCTCCTTACAATTCCTATACAATGTTAAGCATACAAGAGATGAGAGTAAAGAAAATATCAACAAGGGAATTAGTAGTTGATCCAATGCCAAATTCTCCAAACTAACATTATGAGAATTGTATGGCAGACAGTAAGGAGATTTACCAATAAGATCTTGGGAATGAAAGGGTTAACATGTGAATTCTCCTCACAGTTTCCATACTTTATTTGCTGATAAGCAGATAAGAGTTAACAAATAGATCAACTGGAGGTTTGTTTTCTGGATGAACATTATATCAGTCAGAATGGAGAACTATGTATCAGCTCTTAGAAATGAAAAAAATAAAGACAGCTGTGTAGTAATTTCACAGAGCTTGGCATTCAGTAAATCAAAGTGAGGCCTGTATATATGTCAATTTAGGTTTGAAAGTTAATCCACTGAATGATGCTATCCTCTACAGGGAGACGGCACAGCCTTTATCTTCAAAGACAATGATTGCATATTTACATTTTCCATGCACTGCAAGAAAAACTTTCCACTCAGGAAACAACAAAGTGATTTAGATGTTGGTTTAGACTGTGGTTTGAATGATGAGCAGTATCTGAGGGTGGTAATGGATTATTTACCATGGCTCATGGACACTTTTAAACCTGATCTGGTACTGTATGATGCTGGAGTGGACCCACATCAAGATGATGTGCTTGGTAAACTGTGTCTTACAGATCAAGGTACTGGAGGGGGACAAGGGAGGTTGTGGGTGGAAACCGCAGGGGTCAGAGGTGGGTGAAGAACAAGAGATGTGCTCCGGAGAAAAGGGTGAGGAAGTGGTAACTTAAAAGGGTGTGAAAGGACCAAAAAAAGCCAAGTTACGCACATTCTTTAATTATTTATCTGCACTGTGTCACCATGAAAAGTGGGTGACAGGTGTGGGAGATGCAAGAGAGTGGTGCAGGGAAGTTCTTCCCCCCTCCCCGCCCTTACATCCTTACCCATGGTACAAAGGATCTGGTAATAAAGGGGCAAGGTCATGATTCGTTTATCTTACAAACTTAGAAATTTCTTCAATTATCAAAATGAAAATGGCCTGATAAAAAAAGATTCACTCACTAATAAATCATCACTCTACAGGGTTGTTGGATCGTGACGTAGCCGTAATAGAAATGGCTCTTAACAGAGGGATCCCATGTGCGACTGTCATTGGTGGAGGGTATGATGACGACATAAAAGTTCTTGGAAGGCGTCACTCAATCATTCATAGAGCAGCAGTTAAGGTGAGAGTTGACACATGATCCAAGCATGAGATGATAGGACAGTTTTCAATTGAATGTCGAAAAACAAAACCAAGGTAATCACAACACAGTCACATCAAAGGTTTGCATGGTTTGAATCGACTTTACGCGTGAAACGAATTGACTTCTGCTTGTATCATAAATCATACCGTATGCATATGTTGGTTATTTATATCTATAAGTTGGTGTATTAACTGCCTATTTTCTTTATTATTTTGACCTTTATTTAATGTTTGATTCAGGGGTGATATATTATGAAGAGAAATCAGATACTAGTCCCTCTCAGGTGTAAGAGGGTTAACCCTTTCACTCCCAAGATCTAATTAGTAATTCTCCATACTATCTGCCATACAATTCTTATGATGTTAGTTCAGAGAATTTGGTGTTGGATCAACAAATAATCCCATAATTTATATTCTTCTCTATTCTCATCACCTGCCTGCTTGATATTGTATTGATATTGTAAGGAGAAATTCTCTCTTGGTCACTTGTGGGAGTGAAAGGGTTGACACAGTCTCAGTTCTGGAGGAAATTGTAGTAACACTGTTGCAACTCTTCTAAATGTAGAGTATTGTTGTACATGTAGGTATTTCTCATGGGGTGTCTTTCCTGAATGTAAATTTTATCTTGTATCTTCCAGATATAAAAAAGTGAAGTTCTTAACAAAAAACGTTTTGTGCTTTTTGTTTTGTAGTAGGCATCCTCACTTGATGTGATGAAATCTGCAGCAAGGAAGTTCATTGATTTTGTGAACAATGGTCCCTCACCTTACCATGGTATGTTTTATCCCTATAGCTTCAGAGTCTGGTGAACTTCTTAAATTTGTTTGCTGTCTCTTCATCTTTTTAAACCAGTGTTTAAATGTATTAGGAATTAGTTTTACAGTATATACACAACTTGAGACACTTAACTGCCATTTCAACATGAACCTCCTTACAATATCAAGACATGATCCAGTCCAAGGGTAAACAGCAACAACAATCTTAGTGACAAATGTGATTCAAACCTTGGGAAACAAGGGATTCACTGAAAATCTCATCATTTGTCTCTTGATATAAAATATTGGTAAAATCAAGCCATCAGTTAAAGATCACAATATTATCATTGTTATACCGCTATTCTTTGTAAGGTGAGAGGTTAAGTGGTGAAATGAAAGTGTTCCATGACAGTGACGTGCTATGACAAACGAGCAACGTAGCTTGTATGCGTCAATACCAGTTGACCATCTAGCTGCATGAATTGGGGTGCATAAGGAAACAGACTCAATACCTGATAATGACAGCAGAATCACCACAGCTGCATGTTGCATTCATTAACTGATAGAGCCTGACTCTTTATAAACAAAGTTGTTTTGATGGGAAAGCTGATATGTTTTGTTTCAGTTGTCAATGAGTGTAGAAAGGTGTTATCAGCAGCAGGATTTAAACAGCTCAAGGAAAAAGAGCACTGGGATATATAACTTTTGTATAAGGTGAGAAATGAGATTTGGGGTTTTTATTAAACTTTTGGTAAAGTTGTTGTTTGGACATGACCCAGAATCTCATAATGGTTTCCAGAAATAAAAACTCTGCTGTCTGGGAAATCACATAGTGCACTTAAAATTGGCCACACCTGTTTTCTTTGAAATGAGTGAGGGACCCATCTTTATTTCTGTTGAAGGAGGAGGGAAAAATATGTTGGAGATAAAAATTTCTAAAAGCCCCCCCAACCCCTATAAGCCATGTAAATAGCAAGCGACCCTCCTCCTTTATCAAAAATGTACGTGATGACCCCCCTCCCCCTGTCTCCTCATATCTCCTTTCATTTGGCTATTAATTATTAAAATCTGTCACATACAACTATAAGATGATTAATTTGCATAACACCCACCTGAGGCAATGTACCCCTTTTTAAAATGTATCTCAAAGTACTGACCTCCCCCCAGACTCCCTCCTCCCAAAGAAGCATGAAAATTTGGTGAATAATCAGAATTTTTCTGACCCAGAAAAAAATTAAGTATGAAAAGAGAAATGAGAAGTGTTAAAAAAAATTGGGATGAAGTCAGAAGTTTTAACCCAAGGAAAGCAAGTTAAGCTAAATATCTGGAAGTAAATGGTAAACAAGTAACAAGCCAGATTCATCTTGAGTATTGCAAACTTTATTTATGATCTATTTTTAGACCTTGGCGGTCCCCAGCTAGCAATGCACTCCATCCGAGAAATGTGCTGCTCCTCTATTGTACATCAAGAGACACTGCTATTCAAGGTGACAATTTCTATGCATAGTAAGGCATTCATAAGCTCGCGTTACATGATATGTCACGTAACGCTATCTTACCCTGGGACGAAGTTGCACGTGATGGTTTCCGTCATGTCGCCCAATAGTCATGAAATTATAAAGCACACAGCATCGCCAATCTACTCGTTCTCTAATGGTAGCCGGGAAACGGTGTGTTCTCTGGTCCTCCAAGCTAACAAGAAAAATGCCGCCAAGGAGCTAGGTGCACAATCATCGCACTGTATGACCTTTTGGCGTGGTCTAAATACATTACCTTCATTAACTATTTTTTTATTGTTAAGAAGGTCACAAATAGACACAATAGGAATTGATTTGTATGTTACGCGCTTGCCTTTTACTGACATGTCGTAAGCGACAATCGACATTTGTTTACCGGGTTTTGATCATCACCAAGAGCCCATTATTAATGAGCTCCTGTCATCACTGAGTGTTTGGACGGTTGCAAATCTACCATGGGGTTGACCAGTGAGCAAAGTGATTCTCCTTAGCAATTAATTGAGAGTTTTTATTTTTATTTTTATATTTTGCAGGGTTCCTTTGAGACACTTCCAACAGTACTGGATTCCGTAGTTGGAGCTGACTAAAGTCAAGCCACCGGCATTCCTGAGCTTCTTTTGCATGAATCCTCTCCCCAAACTCCGTTTAAATGATTTTTGCTGGAAAAGCAATGTAGGTTCAACTCAGCGGAGCAAACAAGATACTTAGTCAAAAGAAAAGGAACATAATCCCAGCACAATCAATGTAAAAATTGTGTAACAAGGGAAGGGGTAGAAGACGGGAGCACGTAAACAAGAGATAGTATTCAAACAGTGTATCCTGAAAACTTTCTCATTTATCCATTGCCCATTATAATCAGGCAAGACGTATACAGGCATAAAACGGTGGTTCCTGGAACTGTGTGCCTTGTTTTGTATTTACGGTCTAAAAACAAGGATGACGAAAAGCATGTGACAAGCAAATGGAAATTAGCACGCTCGGCGCAATAAACGTTTGCACTACTCTTCTGACTCGATCCACCTGCTGAATTTCTAACTAAAAAGTTTCTTGAAGCTGTGAGTATATATTGATAACATTCATCGTGTTTGTTTTGCGTTAAGTTGCAAATGCAAAGGGTGTCTACACATTAAAGTCTGAAAAGACTGGCAAAGTTTAGTTTGACGGTGACTTCTTTCCGCCAGTACAAGTCGCTTTCACAAAGGAATTTTTTTATTTTGATAGAATGGTACCCTTTCTTTCTTCCTTGGGCCTGTATTTTATTTGATAATTTGTTGATGTCAGTTTGAGTGAAACCAGATGCAACCGTCACGTGCAAGTTACCTAGTTCATCTTGTGCTTCGTGGCTTCCAGTTCTTGTGATTTCCATAAGTCAATTAGCTCACCGTATTTCCTCGAATACAAGCGCCCGTGCGCTTATTTAAAATTCCGGGCAAATAGAGGGACGCTTATTGGAAGGAAGGCGCTTAGTAAGTAAGTACGGCGATAGGACAAAAATTAAATGAACAGACAACATACATAAAGGAACTCTGCAAGCATACGGTAAAATATTTCCTTTCAAAGGATAACGACGAGCTATATGCCCTTGTAAACGGCAGTCATGTCATTCCCCATTTGAGACTTCTAGCTGCAAACCTTGAACAGCATTTTTCTCAACAGATCATCTCTCAGGTCAACAAATGCGAGTTTTTAATCAGACTGTCCTCATGACTTTCGAGTATTCGGCAAGTTTTCCTATCGCCGTTCTGAATTCGAAGCAGCAAGAAGTTATTTCAAACTGGCATTAAACTTGTTCAACGTGTTTCAGCCAGTGGTAATGTTCAATTATATAATTATGCACTATCCATTAGGCTGAAAGAACTCGGGCCGGAGCATGTTGATGTCGTCATTTCTTGTAATAACCTGGGTCGGGTACACCATAACCAGGGTAACCTGGCGAAGGCAAGACATTATTATAATCGTTCACGGGTCATATTTTTGAAAGAGCTTGGACCTGACCATGTTCATGTGGCAACTAGTTACAGCAACTTCGGTCAGGTGCACCGTGAGCTCGGTAACCTGGGTCGAGTACACCATAAACAGGGTCACCTAAAGAAGGCAAGAGATTACGATAATCGTGCACGGGCCATATTTTTGAAAAAGCTTGGACCTGACCATGTTCATGTGGCAACTACTTACAGCAGTCTGGGTCAGGTACAGCGTGAGCTCAGTAACCTGGATCGTGCGGAAGATTATTATCATCGTGCATTCGTCATTCTACATAAAACGGAGCTCGGATCTGGGTATGTTGACGTTGCAAATTTTCATAATAACCTGAACGCCCACACTAAGAGAATCTAGAAGACTGGGTGACCTGAATCTTGGAAAAGCCTGATTACGGTGACTGTGCGCTGGCATCTCACCTAAAAGCAGAAGGTCGAACCTGACAAGATTTACCTCGCATGCAATATTCCGAAGATTAACCCTGCATTGATGTAGAGGAGCTGCGAAAGCGTATTGGTTTTCTGTTGAATTACGTTCTGTCCTCGACAAATTCATGGCTGCCGAGGATTTAGTTGCCTCAGCGTGAAGTCAGTCACAAACGAAAAATGTCAGTTTGCTCACAGGCGTCCTAAGCTCACGTCTCTAGGAAAAAGGGAAAGGTTATTCTCGGACACCTAAGAGTTTATTCATGAAAGCGTCACGCGTTGTGTTACGCGGCGGCGTTTACGGTGGCGGCCCCAGTCCCATGGAACGGCCTTCCTTTGCCAATAAGGCAGGATAAAAACATTGATTCTTTTAAAAGTTTACTTAGGACTTATTTGTTTTCCAAGGCATTTTGTTGAGATTTTTAAGGTATATTTTTAGAACACATGTATGTATTTGTATATATAGTTTTATTAATTTATTAATATTTATTATTATTATTATTATTATTATTATTATTGTAATGCGCTTTTGATTATAGACGTTTACCGAAAACGCGCACCAAAGATAATAAATGTTTTTGTAGAAGGTTACGCGATAGGACCTGTTAAGAATTTGAACCCACTATGAGGAATAATGTGGGGAACTAAATACGGTCGATCTACAATGCTAAATATCCGGAAATATGAAAATTTTACAGGTTAAGTTTATATAATTTACCCACTCCTGTGTTCACACAGTTATTCCTGTCATAAGCACTTAGAACACTTAAAACAGCGATAATTATAAAACAGAAGAATTTGATATGCTGTTGTGATAGAAACATGAAACATGAAATTCGAAAACGGATTAGCAAGAAACTTTAAAATAAATATTCGTTATCTAAAGTTCACATTATGTGCCCATTTCACATATTTGATACCCCGGCACCACTAAACAAAATCACACCAAAACAGATCAATTAAGAGACAGTGGAAGCTTACTAATTTCAAAACTTATAAGTGAAAATTTTAAATCAATAAAATAGAAGTCATTCAAGACATACATGTACATAAATCTTCGAAAGACATTGAACAGCACTTGTATAGTTCAACTCCTTTAGCTCTTGAGTTAAAATAATGTATAAAGTAATTAATTTGTTTCCCCAAATTTTGACGCAACTTTTGTTTCATCAATCTTCGCATCATCATCCTGAATTTCATCCACGATAACTATAGATCTTATGTCGAGGTGCGTTGAAAGATTTGAAAATTTCTTTGAAGTGGCGTCTACTGTCTCACTTTAAGAGCTAGAAATTAGTAATTACTAGCCAGGCGAGCTACATGACGTCGTTTCGATTGCGGCTCAGAGCACCGTATCGATCTGTTCGTCCTAACGATACTTTTATTAACTTACAATTAGGCTGTGGGGTGTCACAAAGGATGATCATTTTGAAAAACAACTCGTTGACGCGAAATCCATGCCTCTGTGCTAAATTATTCAAGAATCTCTTGAAACGGTGGGTATCATTCATTATTGATCGTATCTGTTTTAATTTTAATTCATAGTATTCTTCAGCCGAATCTTGATCCCGAAGATTTAAATGTGTCATTTGAGACCAAAGCCCTTCATTTCTTTGTGCTGTTTACCTACCGTCAAGTCACGAAATCAAATTGAGTTAATTTGATTGATTTCGGACAAAATGTTAAAGTTCTTAAAACCACTAAATCCTTGCTATGATATCAGCACACAGCTGTTTTTCTTACTTATTATCACGGAATGTACCTGTAAAAAAAATCATTACCGAAACTAACGAAATGACCGAAACCTAGTAGAGTTTGGAGATTCTAGAGAATGCGAGTGTATTGAATTGAAAACGGCAAAAAGTAATAAATTACTAGAAGAAAGGTGCCGGGAAGTGCCTACTTTAAGCTTTCAAATAATATAGTAAGACAGCGAAGGCCTCGATACGGTCACCTAATCTGTCATTCGAGACACAAGGGAATTTTCCCATCAAAAGCTTTCGTTTTGGGCTTGCTTTGCCATCCACGCTGTTATTCCTGTTACAAGCACTTAGAACACTTAAAACAGCCGTAATTATAGAACAGAAGAATTTGAAATTCTGTTGTTATAGAAACATGAAATTCGAAAATGGAGTAACAAGAAACTTTAAAATAACGTTCGTTATCTAAAGTTCACATTATGGGCCTTTTCTCGTATTTGATACCCCGGCACCACTTACCAAAATCACGCCAAAACAGATCAATTGAGAGACAGTGGAAGCTAACTAATTTCAAAACTTATTAGTGAAAAATTTCAATCAATTTATTTAGTGGAGGTCATTCAATACATACATGTACATAAACATACGAAAGTTCTCGAAAAACTCAAGAAACATGAAGATTTTCACCGTTAGTTATCGCCAGAGTGTTTGCAAAAAAATAAGGCCCGGACATTGAGACACTGAACTGCACTTGTATGGTTCAACTCTTTTAGCTCTTGAGTTAAAATAATGAGTAAAGTAATCAATTTATTTCCCCTAGTTTCGACGCAACCTTTGTTTCATCAATCTCCGAGTCATCTTTCTGTATTTCATTCTCGATAACTGGATCTTACGTCGAGTTGCGTCGAAAGATCTGAAAATTTCTTTCACGTTGCGTCTACCGTCTCATTTTAAGAGCTAGAAATCAATAATTGCTAGCCAGGCGAGCTACATGACGGGGTTTCGATTGCGGTTCAGAGAACCGTATCGATCTGTTACTCATAACAATACTTGTAAAAACTTACCCTTAGGCAGTGGGGTGTCACAACGGATGATCATTTTGACAAAACAACTTGTTGACGCGTAATAAATGTCTCTGTGCTGAATTACTCAAGAATCTCTTAAAACGGTGGGTATCATTCATTATTTTTCCTTTTTTGTTGTAAGTTCAATTTATAGTATTTTTCAGACGAATCTTGATCCCGAAGACTCAAACGTGTCAGTTGAGACCAAACCCTTCATTTCTTTGTATTGTTTACGTGCCGTCAAGTTACGAAATCTAATTGATTTAATTTTACTGATTTAGGCCTAGGACAAAATGTTAAAGTCCTTACAACCACTAAATCCTTGCTATGACATCAGTGCACAACTGTACTTCTTACTTATTATCATGGAATGTATCTTAAGCTACTGACTTCGAGGAGACTTCATTGTTAATCCAGAAGGTCACATTGGAATTCTACTCTTCGTGGTTTGACAAATTTAATTCGATCACTAGAAAGTATTTTACACTGAAAAGAACAAAGCAAATGAGAAGAAACTATATATACCATGTTGAGGTCCAGGTGTAGACAGCATTTACTCGTTAAAAAACATTTGATCACGATAAACTCTCAACAGAGCCAAAACTTCGAGCCAATTTGATCTTCGTTTACCATTTACTCTCCAAATACGATCTCTGATGATGCGTGCGACACTCTGTAACATTTATTTTGTACCTTTGGAGTTTCCTGTTCACTGTTCTCAAAAGTGCAAGTTATCATAAATTTGGTAGTAAGGAAACCAAAAGTTTCACTACGGTCCACTTATCTATAGCTATCCTGTCCAGACGCCTTTTCAGTAATACGATGCATTCGAAACAAAAGA